TGTCCTGATCAGAATGATAAATTGATAAAACATTTCCTTCTTTTGCATTCTCGATTAAATTGGCCAATAACACTTTTTAATTTTTTTGTTTCACTTTGTGCTTTATCACACCAATTATTTTTGAAATTTTACACCATGCGTTTTTTTTTTTTTTATACTTATTTTTATAATCTAGAGAATAAGTTTAATCTCATAATATTTATCTTTTATAATGTAAATCGATTTAACTGACAAACTGTAACTTTAGTCAACTGTGTTGCGTTTTTTTAGGTTTAATATACAAATAAATTAAGATAAACCGGTTCACGTCGAAATGCATGTTTGCTCGAACAATAATAAATGAATTGAATAATACAATTTCAAGTTTTAGATACTGGTCTGGACGTTTATGACGTATGCTCTCGACGATTATGTAGATAAACATCCTCGAGGACCGGTAACAAAATTTAATCACTAACAGTGTTTGCGACAATATTTTAAAAACATTTTCATAAATTTGTCGACAACAATGTCGAAAATATGCGTTTCTGACAAAGGTTTCTTTGGTATAGATGCGACTTTAGATATCAGACCACATGACTTAAAATATAAATTAACTAAATACTTACTTTTTAAAAATTTTAAAAAGTTGATTAAGTTTAAAGAGTTTGAATGTTCTATGTGGTTGTAGATTCTACAGTTATTTTTTGTAAATTATAATATTAATATTTAAATATTTTCGTTTTTTTTTTTTTTTACCTACTACGAAAATTGTAGTCATGCTAGTTTTTGTTTTGCTAAATAGCTATAATATATTTTTTTTTTTTTTATGATTATTGCATATTATTACATCGCAGAGAAACTGAAAATGAACTGCAACAAAAAATATAAGGATATCACTGCGAATATTCAAAATGTTTTAATATTATTATATAATACAGCATTAAATTTTTCGATGTTAAAATTTACTTAGGTACGCCGGATGATGAACGTCTAAAGTTATATAATAACATCACAATATGCGTAGGTTGGTATTTTATTATCGTTTCGTCTGGAATACATTTGGAAATAATTTTAATAAATTATAATACTTTGTGACACGGAGAAAAAAAAAACTGCTATTTTTTACTTTGCATAATATTGTATGGAAAATCGATAAATTTAAAAATATTTCACATTTGAATAATACTATAGATAATGTTTCATTGTTGTTTCCTGCGTAAAGCTGCGTGTTCGTATCGTTTTACAACCGTTTATAAATTCAATATTCAAAAGACATAAATCTCAACTCGTCACTTTTTAAGTTGACATTTATTAAACCTTTTCATTGGTATCGATATTCGTACAAATTTTTGAAATAAATAATAATTTTTGTAACAATATATCAGATACCATATGGATTTTCGATTATTTATTTATTATCATCTGGAAATTCTAAACTAGAATAAAATTGAATCGAAAATGGAATTTTTACACGAACAAAAAGTACCGAACGAGATTCACGACGACAGCAGTTTATAATTCATTATGTATAAAGTTTATTTTGTAGTTTTTTTTTTTTAAACGTTTACATTTTTTTTCCCTACAAAACTCGTTAAATTGTTTTTTTATCCGTCCCGTAGGTAGTTATTCTCCCTTAGAGCCAATACCTTTTTCCGTGGCGTGCGTCCTAAATAATAAAAGCTGCATTTTTTTTATATAAGTGTAAATTATACCGCGCGTGACTCATTCACAATCCAAGTAACGGTTTACGAGTTTAATAAAACCGATATTGACCGTAGGAATATTTAAATTTATTTCGTATAAAAAGGTATGTATAGGTACTGGCTGATTTATATAAATCTACACTAACGTTCGACGATTACAGATATTTTTGTCGAATTTCCCCGAAAATAGGATCACGTTATATTATATATATTCAAATTTCATGGTAAAGTCGATTTCGTCATGAAATATTTATGTGTTCAAAAATTGATTATGTAAAAACTTTTCGGAATCATGTGAGTATTCTAAAACGTTACATTTTCTGTATTTTCGTCACTCGTAATTTTGGGGCTGAAAATAACTGCCTAATTTTAATTTTTAAATGGCAACCCGTGTTAAAAATTCTGTATGTAAATGGAATGTCAATTTAAATGTATTTTGGCGTTAAAATATTTGATTTTCGTCAACCCGTTAACGAGGTATTCCACTTTTAAGTTTGGGTAGTGGGGGACAGTGTTTAGTAGAGAATTATTTGAGCGGAGGCACAGCGTGCAGAATTTGAATAGTAATCTACTACTTATTTCAATATAAATATCTTTTTCCCGCTACTTCTGGGAACTTTTAACGGCTCGCTTTTGACTAGATGAGCTCTAACTCAGAAATTATAGTTGTTTTATGTCAGGCTAATCGAAGTACCTTATAACATTTTGGTTGAGTCTAAATTTAAATTTCACCATTTTTGTTGTTGAGAGGAGGATGTTTTAATGGCTTTGTACACCCATACAGACTACCCAAATGAAATCAGGGGGATTAAATTGTATAAATGTATACCTAATGTGTATGCACTATCAAGTATATTGTGCCTTTTGGGGGTTTCGAATTTTACCACCTCCCAGCCATTTTTGTGTTCAATCGTTATCACATTTAAGTCGGGTTTACACGGAAACATTGTCGATATGTTTACAAAAAGTCAAAAAATACCACTCGAAACAAATCATATTATAAACTATTGAATATTATTTATTAAATATTATTACAGTAAGTAATGATTATGACAAAGGAAATTTGAAGAAAGAAAAAAAAAACGAAAACGAAATTATGAAAACTGAACCAAAAACGGACGAAACGTTGTACAAAATAATTTTATATTATATCAAAACTTATTACTGTGTTTACACGTATTACGACTTATCGTTCAACTTCACGTAAAAAACGAATACGCGTCCATCAGTCATTCGATCCGACCTCGGGTTTCATTCCTATTTGATAAGACGTAGTACGGTTCGCAGTAAACACGCCCCGTTTTACTCGATACGATTTGTGTGCGCCAAACTTTATACGTCTACGGTTTTAGCCGAAAGCCTCGAGCGCGTGTTTTGGCGGAAAACGATTTTTTGTACGACGTATCTACACGTATAAAAATAAAAAAAAAAATAAAAAAAAAGGGATCTGCGAAACAGTTGGCAAATAACGCAAAAACACCGAAAGCGTGCGTATCAATATTACACGGACTGCGATAAAAATCGCGCGTGCGTGTCTCACTGGCGTTTCGCGTGGGCCCGTCGTATATTTTACGTTTACTATACACACCCGATATTATAATATCATGTCGTTTTGTTTCCGCACAGACTAAAATTCCCAGGGACGATATTACCGTAATACACGGTTCATAAAGTACACCCATACGCGTACGTCACGTTGTGCACCTAATTCGCTCGACATTGTTATTACGAGCGTTATGCAGAGACGGAAATATAATATTCTTTGCTTGAACGAATTTGTCTACTGGGTCGCGAAGAGTTTTTTGAATTAATTAGATTCCGAAAAAAAAAAAATAAAAAAATATACGTTTTTAGATTCTGAATGGAGCGAGGAACGCCATTGATTTTACAATCACGTTTATTTTTATTGTTATTATTATTTTTTATTATATTCATTATAGACCTGTAAAGTAATAAATAGTAAACGTAATAAACGAGTGTTGTTTTTTTACAATTATTTTTTGAAAAGCGAAACCACGTGGGTCGCGATCGATTTTCGGGGGAAAATTCGTATCGCGGTCCTAAAGAGTTTAAAAACCACTGGTCTACACAATATAATTTCTGGATATTAGATAATCCGTCGTTGTTATCATTGATACGGTTAATATTTTAATTCCACTATTGTTTTTCAATATTACTGTCGGATACCTAATCTAGGAACAGCATAAATGTTAACAAAGACTGATTAGTACTAAATTTATACGGCTACGCGAATCGTTAATTATTCATATTTATTTATTTATTTATTAATAACGGGCAGAGCCCCCTAACCGTACAGAACGAGAAGAAAAAAAAAAGTGCAAATAGTATAACGTTGAACGATATTTTTAATTTTACTTTTAATTAGATAGCAGCGATTGTGTTAAATTGAGTGCTGGCTGAAAAAAAATGTGGGCTAGATGCATTAAATAGCAGACAATAAGCGGCTCGCGAGCCGAATCTCACTCGCGAAGAGGAAATAAACGAAATAAACGCGAAAATTTGTTCATTTAAACGTTAGTTGTTTTTTTTTTTTTGTTTTTTTTTAATTATTTGTGTCGGTGTAGATTTAGAATATCAAAGCGTCCGAACGTAATCTATACTTATGATGTATTTGATGTATATTATTGGAAAATCGTATACATATATATATTTTATTCTATAAAATAATTGTATTTTTAATATAAAAATAAATAAATGCATGTTTTTAATAATTTTGAGTGCCATCATTTTCGCAATAGGTCGTGAAATCGTTCGATTTTACTCACTTTTTTCTTATTATGCTTCTATACACGTTTGTATACAGTATACGTGCTGTACGGGTAACAAATCAATCATATTGACAATTATTTATTGTACCAAAATATTAAGGCGCGAATGAAAAATTTTAATTAGTTTTTACATATATTTTTTTTTCGTGCTTTTATTTGTTTTTTTTTTTTTTTGTTTCATTTAATTTTGTGCTTCTGCTTGTTATATGAGCTGGTTCTCTGTTATCTTAAATTTGCATTTTCTTTCCGTGAATCGGATCAACTATTTCCTGAAGCAAATATCCTAAGTAAAACGTGTAAAAAATTGTAACACGTACATTTATTAAACAGTATATAAACGTAATAAAATAAAAAACCCTATAGGCTAACAGATAACCTCCGTTATATATCGTACAACGATTTATCATTGAATTCAAATATTTTAACATTCATCACAGTGACCTCACCTAGTCAACTACTCAATGAAGTGGTCTACTTGAAACCTGTACTATATACAATATTATGTAATTAAAATAAATTACAACAATTATTTACCGATCAATTTGTTGTACTTCAGCTCATTTACGCTGTTACAAAACCCTTCTACAATTGCGTCTGCTTCCATTGCTGTTGACGCCTTTTTCCAATTTAAAACTATTAGCTCTCCGCCGTACCGAGCAGTACCTATTGTACGAACGCCAACGAACAAGATTTTTGTCTGTCCGGTATCCAATAAGGGTGGCCTGTGCAGCATAACGTTAAGATTATCTGCAAACAAAAATAACGAAAAGAAAACGGTAAAAGACATTTGTTCGTATTCGATATTTTAATACGTTCCCCGCGGCTCCGAGAAATGCGTTAAACTTTGTCCCGCCGTAACGGCGTTCGGGTCGTCGGCCGTCGGCGATCACCGTACACGCCGGCACCCCACGGTCGTCGACGTCACCGCTGTCCGTGGCTAATCCGCGTTCTTCGTCTCGCGCTTCGATCGTTCCTTCCGCGGCAGCGTCTTGGACGGCACTGCCGGCGTCAGAGACGATTGTTGTGCAGACAAGCAGCGGACGAGACCAGACCGGAAGTTCGACGGACGAGCGCGGCACACCCAATCGCGTGCGACCGGTTCCTGAAACTGTCATTGAACAAAAATATCGCTCCTTACGTGTTCAAACTGCATCTCTGTTACGCTACGCACAATACACGTATCGTCAGGGTGTAACGGAGGGCGCACGCGGGTACACGGCGTGTGTTCAGCACGTGTAAACGGAATTGTTTTAAATTTTTAATCAATTATTTATATTCATTGTTATTTATTCATTAGTTATAATTAATTAAACACACACACACACACACACACACATCGAGACAAAGTAAAAATATATTTTTTTGCAGTAAACCACTAGTAGTAAACGGTTAGTACGTAACTTTATTTCGAGCCAGCGAGAATAATTGTTTGTGGTATATTTAACACCCCATTTATGAGTTACGTCCATACATTTATTTACCAATGTACACCATTGATTGATATCAGTCGCATGGAAAAAAGAAAAACAAAACCATTTACCAACGGCTAAACTGCCATTTACCAATGGCGGGTTTATTGGCAAATAATTAGTTGCGTTTATCATACATTCGTTTTCAGATGTTATACGAGGGCTAATCAAAAAGTATTAAGACTGACAGTATCATTCGGAAAAGGAGCATCGAAGAGCAGTAGGATTGGTATCACTTGCTTCTATGACTTTTTCTGAGTACATTTGTTTTTATTGCTTCTCTATAAAATTCTTCGGTTTGATTTCACTGATATTTTTGTAAAATATATTTTTCGAGTTTGGCGATTTTTTAATAAACCCAAAAGAAGAGTAACTTGACAGATTTGGAGATNTGCAACATTTCATGGTTTTTGCCATTAAATGTCAATTGAAAAACTGAAAATATGCCCTCGAGTGGCAGCGAGTTCCGCTTCTTTTGGATTCATTACGAAATCGCCAAACGTGAAAAACAAATTTTAGAAAAATATCGTCAAATCAAAACGAAGAAGTTTATAGAGATTTTATACGAATAGATGTGCTCAGTATAAGTCGTAGAAGCAAGGTTTACAAATCGTTTTGCTCTTCAACGCTCGGTTTCCGAGTAATGTTATCAGTCTTGATATTTTTTGATTAGCCCTCGTAAATGAAGTTGTACCACACATTTCACGCTTAAATATAAATGTTGAACTGTAACCTCTGCGGTATTCTTTTAAAAATTGCATGTCTAAAAAATAGCGGTCAAATTTGTCATGTCTGCTATTTCTGAATCTGTTCAAATAAATGCGTGTGTCGACAACCCTACGACCTTCTGGAAATCTATATATTGTATACATTTGACAACATAATTTTTTAAATTTATTTTAAAAATAATTTACCCATAATCAACGGTATCATTAGAAGATTCAGCTGTTTCTAATCTATGGTCCGTAACATCAGCATGTATTTCATTTTCAAGTGTTGAGGTACATATTAATTACCTATATAATATTTAAATAGGTACACAACACTCACATCATACACAATTAAATTATTTCGTAATGTTTTGTACGTCTGGTGACTGGTCACCATAATTAAAGTGCTTGTGGGGATCCAAATAAATTATAAAATGTCTTTAAAAATAGAAACTAATAGTCACCATTACGCTTAGAATCCTTTGCGTGGTCCTTTAAATAATATTCCGGCACATAAACCTCATATACTTATCCTGAGAGAGTATTTTCGGTTTTTCGCATTTAATGAGAAAATACATGAATAAATCCGAGCAAGTTCTGTGATAAAAATAGTTGTTCACAGGAAAAAAAAATCTTTGTAAAGCCATAAGCTTTTTTGCTCCACTCAGAATCTGATGTATAGCAATTTTGTTCTGAGGAAATTAAATTAAATTTAGAACTTAATAAAATAAAATAAATAAAACAAGTATTTTTTAATCTTATTACTTACAGAATTGGCGTAATCTTCGCAATTTGTATAGCATTAGTTGACGTGCTAGATTCTCTATACTTATAAAATGTCGTATACAGCGTGATTATTGAAACAAAACATGCCAAATATCGAAATATTTATTATAATAAACAATAATTACCTTTCGTGTTACCTGATGTATACCAGTAAGGTCATTAGGAATTTATATTTTTTTCTCTTTAGCTAAACGGCATTTCATTGCACTTTTTATGGACATTATTGCTTTAGTTTTTTTTTTTTTTGTCATATTGTCTATTTAAAACATAGAACAATAAAGATAAGGCGAATGACACGCTAAAATATGCACGTGCCCGCCGTTTCATACACTCATTGGAGTACACAAGACGTATGAAATCAAAACGTAATTAGGACGGTATAATCAATTAACATAATAATAATAATTATTGTTATTGTTATTATCATTTGGTTTCGCGAAGATAACATAGAAAATGATATTGTCGATAATTATACGTATGCAAACGGTAGATATCTATTTTAGTCTGTGTTCTAGAAATATCATACAGCTCGGGCGGATACCGATCCGGTTTCGAACTTCCGGCATGCGAAGATCGGACAAACGCTGCCGCCGGGAAAGTGAGCGCCACACGTCGGACATAATTACGACATTTGCGCGCGAAAATTTGGTTTCGTAGGTCCGAAAATGCTGCTTACTGAGTGAAAAAAAGAGAGGGGAAAAAAACTTTAATTGAAACAATAAAGTAAATAAATATATAAATAAAGAATTTATATATATGGAAAAAAAAAAAAAAATAATAATAATAATAATAGATGAATGAATCGATGCATCGCCCGGTGAATTATGATAATTGTTATTATACGACCGGTTTCGTATTGAAAACTCATCATCACAGGCACATCACAGTGTGAAACGCGATTGAATGTAAAAAATTAAACGAAGGAACATGCATGGATAAAAATAAAATTACAAATTGGTCGTTTTACGTGGAATATAAAAATTATTTTATTTTAAAAAGGAGAGATTATTTAAAATTAGTTATTATTAGACGTAGATATGCCGAGAAATAACAATTATTCGGTTATTATTATTTATTATCTAAATTGCATTGATATAGGATATTATTCTTAAAATCGGTTTGACCATTTAAAATATTGAAAATTACTTTTCATTATTTTACTGTGTATGTGTAATTCTTCTAAAAATGACTTTCGTTTAATATTTTTACATTCAGCCGCGTTTTGCGTTTCCACCGTGACACACCTGGATAATTGGAAACCGGTCGTATAGTACAATTATCGTAATACTCCAGGCGACCCATTGGTTCATTTATTTATTTTATTTTTATGTACGAGCATTAGCAATTTTAACAATTTTGTTTTTACTTTATTATTTTGTCACTTAATTAAAACTTGCGGAGGTCAACTTATTCCACGGCAATATAGGACTCGGATCTTTGATACGTTGTTATCAAAACGGAATATTTCCATCGAAAAGCGTTCGTGTTTTTTTTTTTTTTTACTTTTCCCGTGTTAATCATTATGCCAATTAAATAAAATACCGAAAATTCGTTCCTGCATTGCCCCGGGAAAAGTTGTCCTCTACGATTTTCAATTGCGGTTTTTTTTTGTTTCTCTAAAAACCACTCGGGGTAATCCGTATTCTCGGAACGCGCGAAAACGTTTTTGTGCCGGTGTTTTTTTTTTTTTTTTTTTCGCCGGCCGCCGCGTCCACTCGGTTTAGATTGTTTCGCGTATTTTAGAATTAGATTAGTGTTGACGGACATCGATCACTATTTTTTTTTCCACGTCTGCTCGGACAGTGGCGTTCCTCTGACGTCCTTTGACGTTTTCAAAACCCTACCGCGGCGCGGACAATTCGATCGGGGTGATGTGCACAATACGTTTATCGGGACGGTCGTTTTTCCAGCGCGCGAGCCCAACGGCGGCCGCGAAACGAGTCCGGCGAAATGCATGCGTTTTTCAACTCATCTCGGTGACGGCTCCGGGCGGACACGAGTCAATGGCCGGGTGTCGTCGCCGGTGTAATTTCCGCGATAGCACGTTGCGGGTTCTCCGTGTGAATTCAGAAATTTAGCGCCCTCAGGCCCTGTATAAATCGGCGCCATTATTGTATTCGTCGGCGTTGTAAATCTGAGTAAAATTGCCGGTAGAAAAGTTGTTTATAGGGGGGGAGGGGGAAACAAACAAAAAAACACTTAGTTTCAAATTAATTTTTTTCCCGGATTTCCTGACAGCGAATTCAGTTACTATATCGGGACAGTCCAAGCTTCGAAGAAATTAATTTTCTATATTTAATAGAGATAATGCATTCAATCGATTTAATGTCGTTGTAGACCCCGTATAATAATTATTAACACGATAAGAATAATTGTTTACGGTGCCCAACGTAATATGTGGGTCACCGGCAGCCGCAGACTTCAAACACCATCAATGAAAATATAACTCGATTAAACTTCAACGAAAATACGCGTTTGTTTTCGATGGAAGAAAAAAAATACTTGCGTCATTTATGCGACTTAATATTGTTGCGGTCCCTAGGCCCGGGCCTGCTTGGCCTATTCGTCAATCCGCCTCTGACGAAAGCTATCTCCTTCAGATAAAAAAAAAAAAAAAAACAAAAGAATTGTGGAATAAAATCCATGAGACGTGGGCGGGTGGGTAGCGAAATATCGCACGGCCATCGTCTAACCACGTCGTGACGGCACTCGACGCGCGCGGCGATGGTGTCCGCGATGGTGCGCACAGAATCGCCCGACCATGCACCGCCACGGAACCGGCCGCTATTGTGGCCGACCGCGGCCTTGCCCTAGGCCAAAAAATCTATAGTTGTCCCAACCGCCGCCGCGCGGAGAACGACGACGACCGCGGCGGCGGCGGCGGCGGCGGCGATTACGGCGGCGGCGAGCGCGACGGGCGCGTTGCCGCTAGGGGCGCTAGCGTGGCCCGGCCCCGGTCCATGATCGGGCGGCGGTGGCATTTTTAGCATCCTGCGGCTCTAGAAACCGCACGGCCGTCGCCGCGTCACTTGCGTCGTTTAGTCGCGAAGTTTGTTTCCTCCCCGCACGTACACACACCACTCGCACGAATCGAAAACAAACACGCGTGCGTGTGTAACGCAGGTAAAATATTATTCGTTTTTTTTTTTT